CGAGGAGGCAAGAAGAAAGAGGAAAAAGCGCGGCCGCGGAAGACTCGGAGCAATTAACTGGTCCGAGGTATTAGATCGTTTTTCGATAACGAATCAAGGTCACGCTGATAAAAAGGCTGCGTGGCTATCGGTGCCTCGAACGGCGGTCGCGATCACAGCAATAAAGCATCGCGGCAGCATCGGTATCCGGTTTGTTCAAAGAGTCGGCCGCAATGCAGACCGCCGCGATGCACTGTCACAGCGGTGCACCGTCACACTGGTGCACCGTCACAGCGCATAGTGCATCGGTACCGCGGCGTTTCATCGATAAATTCAATTTATTCGAAGCTGCCGGAACACGGGAGCCACCGATCGATACGGCCGATCTTTTGTCGGCGGAATATCCAGCGTGCAACAAAAGTTTCTACGTCCCCGTGGACGCGCGCATTATCCTTGATCGCATTGTGCCGTATCTTCCTTGATCTAAGCTCGGTAGACGGCGCGGATAAGCCGACGGCTCGCTCTCTTTCATTTGTAAACCGAATCGAGACGGCCGGACTACCTCCTTCTCTCCTCTATCCATCTCTTTTTACGTCTCTTTCTTTCTCTCCCTCTCATTCTCTCTCCGTTATCGAAAGCGTTTGCTGCAAAACTTGCTACATCCCTGCGATTCGCGAGCGGAAGAAGCTCGAGTGAAACTGCGCGCGACAGCTTCGGCTTCCGCTGTCCCACATCCGGGCCCCGTAAAAACGTCAACTAAATTAAGCGACCGTTTCGAAAGTCGGCGAAATGCTCGCCACCTATTCTCGAATGCGCGGAGTTACGTAAAACCCGTCGTAAGTCATCCGAGATTGTTTGGGAGACCCTTGAACGCGGAACGAAATATCCGCCGCGGAAAGATTTCGTCGAAAATTAGCGGTCTTCTCATTCGGCGACGATCAAAGCGGCTAACACGAATTCAACGCTTAAGAATTGTGTACTTCGTTAGGAGCCGTTGAAAGATAACTCTTCGAGGATCGGTAGTTTATCTTGCTTTCTCGCGTTCGTTTTATCCTGTTTACGGTTTACGGAGCCGGCTTTACGCTGAAACTTACGGCAAGAGATGTTCGTTAGAAACTCCTCAAAATGACCCTGTAAAAGATCCCAGCGAGAATGCTCCTGGAAGAATTTCAATCGCGACGATATACAGGGTGTCTCAAAAATGTCTCGCAATCCGGAAATGGCGGGTTCCTCGGATCATTCGAAGCAACTTCTTCCTTTACAAAAATGTTCTCCGAGGCACCGTTAACGAGTTATTAACGAACAAACAGTGACCAATAAGAATCGAGTACGGCTAATGCGAGGCTACGGTCTTTTAAATACAGTTTTCAAAATATTGCTTCTCTGGAGTCGTTTGCGACATAATGAGACACGCGAAAATTGGAATTAATTGTCAGAAACTAGATATACAGGGTGTCCCAGAAATGTCTCGCAAACCGGAAATGAGAAGTTCCTGGGATCATTTGAAGTAACTTTTTCCTTAGCGAAAATGCAATCCGTGACTTCGTTTACGAATTATTAACGAAAAACACTGACCAATGAGAGGCGAGCGCGCCTAGCGTTTGTCGGCCGAGCCAATTAGCGCGTGAAGCCCAGTTCCGCTCATTGGCTCGATCGCCTCGCGCCAGCCGAGCTCGCCTCTCATTGGTCGCTGTTTTTCGTTAATAACTCGTTAACGGTGCCTCGGAGAACATTTTTGTAAAGGAAAAAGTTGCTTCAAATGACCCGAGGAACCCGCCACTTTCGGATTGCGAGACATCTTTGGGACACCCTGTATTAGGCTTGCCGGGAAGTTTTGTCAGTTTATCGAACCCGAGTTTCCATGCTTAAAGCTATCGTTCCACTTTCTTCCGTCGGGGAAATTATCGTTCCGCGCACCACCGTATCAGCCCGATAAAATGGTAAGCGTAGTTTCTGTTGTGCATAGTTTCTAAAACCGGCCGGAACTTTGCCTGCGCGGAAAGTTGTATTTGGCGAATCCGTTTTGAAATTCCGCCCGAGAGCAAGGCGAACGGGAAGAACACGAAACACGCAGAAGCGCGGAAATCATTTTGACGAGGCGCGGCTCCGGGACTCGAATGCGACGAGTCGATCTCTTAACGCGTATCGTAGGATCGTCCGGCGGAAACAAGATTGACCAATGAAATTGGCCCGCGGGACGACGGATATTACACCCTATAAACAACGGATCGTTGCGTTTATGTGACCACCGACGAAACGAAGGCGCAGCTTGTCACCGAGCAGCTGCGTTTCCACCCTTTTTCCCTCTCTGTCTGTCTGTCCGTCTGTCTGTCCCTCTCTCTCACTCACTCTCTCTCTCTCTCTCCCTCTCATGACCTCGAGCACAATACGTGCGACAAACGCGTTACGACCGGCCACACGTTCACCTAATAATTAGTGGCATGAGCCAGTTGTGCAACGCGTCGGCAGAACAGCTCGCTACAGCGAAGAATTTTCGCAGCGGTCGCGGAAAGTTTCGCGGTGACCACACGACTCCGGTTCCCTAGAGAGTTTCTCATGGTGAACCTCTTCTAGCTCGTAATTGGTACGAGGCCAAGTAGGTTTAATTGCCCCCCTCGCTCGCCCCCTCCCCCCAGCAGCGCGCTCTTTAATTGTTTCTTTCAACTATCTTTTTTCCCCACTTTATCTCGACGAGTTTCCACCCCGTGGATCGGTTTCCAAGCGAGTTTCGTTAATGCGCGAGCTTTCCTGTCGCTTAATCCTGTTTGCAACTTTTTCGATCAGCCGTAGTCCTTATTCGAGAGCCAGCCATCACCGCGGATAAACGACGGCTCGAATGAAAATAAATGAGATCGAGAAACTATGCGTCGGACTTTGACGGAGACAGATACCCACCGGCCCCGACTTTTCATATTTCGCGAAAGTTTTCCTTTCGAATGCCATTCTTCCGGGCCCCGTTTCCCATCCCCGTACCACCGCGAACCTCCTTTCTGGAATTACCGCGGCGCGTTTTGAGCGGTTACCCTCTTAACCGAAATGAAACGGAGCGAAATGTTGCGCGAAGGCGGGACGAAGCCGAGCGGAAACTGCGGAAACCGGCAAAGGAACGGGACGAGACAAAACCTCGAAACGGAACGGAACTAATCAAGCCGACTCCGAAAATTCCAACGTACCGCCGAACCTCTAGGAATAACGGGAATTCATCGATCCGCGGGAGTATTTTCTGGCACTCATAAATTATTCGCCGGGATTGGCCAACGTTCGGATAAAAACGACCGGCGCGGCCCGGGAAAACTCTTAATAGAAACGGTCCACTTTTGTTCTCCCGCGAAATCGACGCGGAAACTCGAACCGCACTTAGGATCATTCTTTTAGAACAGTCTTCGTATCACGCCGATGATATTTTAGCGAAAGTGCAGTTACACGCAATTACGCTACCGCGCTGGAAATGTTATCGATTTCTTTTAACCTTTCACCGGATTATGGTGGGCGGCTCCACGCAAGCAACTTCGAACAAGAGATCGTTAGCGTACGTTAACGTAATTATTAAAAAAGTTCATGTCATCCTTTATTGACTCGACGAGTTTGCAATGCTTTGACAATGTTTTACTTGCTATTATCAATTTGGATATATGCAATATTTACTGAAACAATAATTGACAGCAATTAACAGTCCGGATGAGGATTAAATGGATAGAAAATTCAGGCTGCAGATCTTCCTAATTTATTCCAATTTTCGTAGATTATTTCGTAAATGTCGGAATGACCAGCTTTAATTTTTCCAACTGGACAATTCTTTATGCTGAAAGTAAGATGGCGATATCATTAACTGAATCGGTCGAAATGACAGAGTTTACGTTTCTTGTTTTAGAGTTGCTGAAACGATACAGACACCTGTGTAGAAAATACATAAATAAACTTTTTAATCCGAGCACCCGTTATAATAAAAATGGAGCGAGGTCTAAATAAATTTAATCTTTTGATCGTTGTAAGGCAACACGTGTTAGTCGCTTTTAGGACACGGCAGATTTAAGTGTTAAAAATGTTTAAATACCATAAACGCACAAAGATCCGCAGTCTATTGATAAATATTAGAAACGTAAACTTATACAGCAGCAATATTAATTTTTTCTGCGATTCTCAAATATTCTGTAAGGGTAGTTTAGTCCGATTAATTAATAAGATAACCAAAAAATATTAAAATTATGCAGTAACAACATTAACTTTTTCTGCGATTCTCAAATATTCTGAGAGGGTAGTTTAGTCCGATTAATTAATAAGATAAAAAAATATTAAAATTATACGGCATCAACATTAACTTTTTCTGCGATTCTCAAATATTCGGAGAGGGTAGTTTAGTCCGATTAATTAATAAGATAACAAAAAATATTAAAATTATACAGCAACAACATTAACTTTTTCTGCGATTCTCAAGTGTTCTGAGAGAGTAGTTTAACCCGATTAATTAATAAGATAACAGAAAAATATTAAACTTATACGACAACAACGTTAATTTTTTCTGCGATTCTCAAATGTTCTGAAAGGGTAGTTTAGTCCGATTAATTAATAAGATAACAGAAAAATATTAAACTTATACGACAACAACGTTAATTTTTTCTGCGATTCTCAAATGTTCTGAGAGGGTAGTTTAACCCGATTAATTAATAAGATAACAGAAAAATATTAAACTTATACGACAACAACGTTAATTTTTTCTGCGATTCTCAAATGTTCTGAAAGGGTAGTTTAGTCCGATTAATTATTAAGATAAAAAGAAATAAAAGAATACGAACTGATAGGCGCTTCCGTAAAAGCGTAAAAAATCGAAAGTATCGGCCGAGTCGGCAATTTCGGTGAATACCGGCTTGCCGAATTTTCGAGAAAATCTATACTCGTCCCAGGAACCATCCCCATCGTACGGGTTTCGTCCTCGACCTTCCACCTATTCCGCTTTCCGCTCCGTACCCGGATGCCGACGCCTTTCACTCGACTCTGAGCGTTTCCGTTCGTTTCTGTTTCAGTTACCGAGAAGGAGATCCGACAATGGTGAGTCCGAAGGAACGAAACCCGGCCCACTGTGGACCGAGCAGTTCGATCGAGCTTTCTCTCCCCCCTCCCCCTTTCTACAAAAACAAAAGCGATCGGGGAATCTGAATCGAGCCGCGGTTATCGCCGAGTGAATTCGTCAGTTTCTAAATCAAATTCGAAGCTTGTCCCAGATGTTCATGATAGACGAATAATCCGCGACGATTAATTATTCGGAGATCTAGAAGCTTTCTGTTATCGTTTTCATCTCCTCGCGAATTGACAAAGAGAATCTCCTTTCGCTCCGGGGCGATCCGGCCAGCGAACATTTTTTTCTGTTCACCGTTCTCCAACGAAATCATGTTCGATAACGCGTTGAACGACGTTGTCTGTTTAGGCACAAAGGATTCCTGAAAGACTGTCCCGACGGTCAGCTGACGGAACAGGTATGGATATTAGATCGTAGCCAGCCCGGTGCGCTAATTGAACGAAAATCGATGCGCATGATTTCAGGGTTTCATAAAGATCTACAAGCAGTTCTTTCCGCAAGGTGATCCCTCGAAGTTCGCCACGCTCGTCTTTAGGGTCTTCGACGAGAACAGCGTAAGTTTATCGTCGGTGACGCTGTCCAACACCTATTTTAACTATGCTGTAATCGGATGTCGATTCTCGAAAATAATCGAAAATAAAGTGACATCTCTAAATTGAGATTTATCGATTTAACCCCTTAACGCACAGTTTTTTTTTTAAAAACCGGCCAAAAGAAATCAATTTCTCAACTTTTCTTTTGGTGGAGAATTTTGATACACTGCGCTTTTGTTCCATGGAAAAAGGCTATATTTTATTCTTGAATAAATAAGTGTTATAGCTTGCAATCCCATGTAAATGATAAATATCAATAAAACGATTCTTTTTCTTTGCTCTTTCACATTGTTATTTTCAATTCTCGATTATATTCGAGTGTGAAAAATTATAGCAGCATAAAATACAACGCCGCTCGAATTATCTCGAGTGTGCACAGTTTGGCCTGTTTAGCGCGCTCGAATTAACTCGAGCGTACAAGTTAAGGGGTTAATCTATAAAGATTAAATCTATTGCTTTTCGGAGGCGTTAAAAATTCGACCAGCTCTTACGACCATATATTAAAAACATTCTGAAAGTTGCAAAAGCACCTATCGGTCAGCTAATAGTAAAAAATAGTTGAAATTTGTTGGATAGTTTGATCATCGACGTGGATCGGTCCGAGACGAAGGCTGTCTGTCGGGCTCGAAGCGTTCGGAAATGTCAGTTTTGTTCGGAACGCCGTCCGGATCGATCGATTTCTCTCAGCGATACAACTTTGTCTAGTACTTTCGTGATCCCATCGTTCGTTTCCATCGAATTTCGCGACACGCGATCCTCTTCCCGCGTGCTTGCATCGAGCGTAGTATCTCATCGACGTGTTTCACCGTCGACGTGCGAGAACTTTCCTTCCGCAACAACGATTCGCAATAGCATTTCAAATTTCAACAAATTTTAAGAAACACTCTACCGGCCACGGTCTTTTGGACAAAGCTGACAAGAAGACGGCATTCGGTATTCCGAAATTCCAAAAAATTCCTGCGAAGCAGTCGTTCGTATATTTGTTTGCCATAAATTGCGAATTCTGTGCGTCCACTTTAACACTTTAACAGCTTAAAAATTCTCGTAAAACTAAATTATATATATTATATATATATAACTAAATTAGATTTATCGTAGCGTTTTTATATTTTATTTTATTTTACAACGATTTTTTGCTGTCTAACAAAGTGTATAATATTCATTCGATAGAGCTCTTTCTGCTTTACAAAACTGTGCTAATCGTCTTTTTGAGTAATTTAATTTTTTTATTACTATTGAAGCTTAGAAATGGAATATCCAGGAGGTAAAAAGCAACATTTTCGACACCTTCTCTTTTTCGCTTTTCATCGAACAGCTGCTGAAGCAGCCCGGATCATTTGGAACGTATACGGAGAAGGTGTCATAGGCGAGTCTACAGCACGGAAATGATTTGCGAAGTTCAAAAATGACGATTTTGACGTCGACGATACGCCCCGCAGCGGAAGACCTTCTGAATTCGAATTTAACCCAGGCTCCCAATTTTTCAGCAAATCCCATTGAATGAAGATGATTGAGAATCGTTTTATGATCGCAGTTCATTTTTTCGGCCAATTCACGACTTGTTTGGTGACCGTCCTCCTTCAAAAGTGCTTTGAGACGCTCTTCGTCGAATTCAGGTCTTCCGCTGCGGGGCGTGTCGTCGACGTCAAAATCACCATTTTTGAACTTCGCAACCAAACTTCGCCTATGACATCTTCTCCGTATTCTTCAGCATTTTCTTCTTTCATTCTTCAATGAAAAGCGAAGAGAAATTGTCGAAAATGTTGCTTTTTACCTCCTGGATATTCCATTTCTAAGCCTCAAAAGTAATAAAAACTTAAATTACTCGAAAAGACGATTAGCACAGTTTTGTAGAGCAGAAAGGGCTCTATCGAATGAATATTATACACTTTGTCAAACAGCAAGAAATCGTTGTAAAATAAAAGAAAATATAAAAACGCTACGAACTTATTCCCCAACCCAATAATATTGTCAAGTTAAGTTGTATCGCTTCGATTATTTTGTTAACATTATTGCTTGTCGCGGATTCTAATAATAATTCGGAGGATACGATAGATCAGGGTAAAAATTGATTATTCGAGCAAATCATTCTGTCGCCTAAATATGAGCGACGCGGCAGTCAAAGTGTTAAAAGAGAATAGTTCCTGCAAACGTTTCAATTCTTCTCGGCCTACCCTGCGCACGGATGGATTATTTGCACTTGCTTCCTGCGAAACGTTCGCATTGAAATCGCGATTGAATAATTTTGCGCGACGGGGTTCCCTCGCCCGTCGAATAAATAAACGAATAAATTCGCAGGGACGGTTGTTCGAAGTTCGGAAATTTAGCGTCCGTGTACATTTCGGAGCCCTGTCGGCTCTCGTTCCTTGGATCCCGAGGCCGACTGTGTTTCTCTGCGCATAAAGATCCGCAGCCCGCCGATAAAGGACGGTCTAACCGCGGCTAGTTTGCATTTTACTGGCCCGAAAGTGGGATTCGTTGCCGTCGGTACGAAAATAAAACCGCCGGGGTGTTCGATGATACAGTTTCGCAGCCCTCGACCGATTCGTGCCGCTCGTGTTTCGCGTGCGCGCCCGAAAGAGAAGGCACGCTGCGTGCATCATCGTGGTATTATTACCCGGCTCTTTTTTCCATTTTCGTTGATCCACTCGTGCTTCAGCATTATCCACTTCGAAGCGGACCGTCGGCCCGGCTCGGCCCGGCCCGGCGTCTGCGCGTTTAATGGCCCGCTCGAAACGTTACGTGTCCTCGGCGGACGATATTTCACGATGCTTCGCCCTCGCAATTCGCCTCTCGGGGTAAACATTTTCCGCGAACCTTTTACAAATGGCTGCTTCGTCCCCCGTCCGCGAACAATCGATCCCCGCGATGGCTCTTCGTCACCGATCGAGACGACAACGCGCGGCTGGACCCGGACCCGATTCTCTTGCAGGACGGCACGATAGAATTCGAGGAATTCATAAGAGCGCTCTCGGTGACGTCGCGAGGCAACTTGGACGAGAAACTGCACTGTAAGTCTGACAACCACCTTCTAGCACTGGATACGGTATGCTGAATTCTAACACTTCGGGGCACGGTGGGATTAAAAATGTCTCATCTTTTTGATGCACGGTAATGCACGGCGGGACATTTTTAGACCCACCGTGAAATATTGCAATAGCAGCATGCGCATTCATGCTACTCATTCAACCCGCGCGGCACGGTGAGGCTGTTCGAGAGTCCTACTTTATAAATTGAATTGAATTATTATTATCTTTTTATGTTTTTATATCATGCGATTCCTTTGGTAATATAAAATATACGAATTTTGTTTAACTTAAAACGCATTGAAATTTCTGTGCAACGTGGCTCTGTGCTCCAAAGAGTTAACGCGCTAAGCGCCAACTCTGTTTTGTCTTCCTTTCGGATTAATCCGCGTTATAACATTCTGCGAAACCTGCGAATACCGTGTTTTAATGGTACTCGCTAAAATTTGTTTTTGGTAACAAGTAATATTTTGGTACATTCTTTTATGATCCCTAAATTATTTAAAATTTATTTGTATGGATATTTTGTATATTTATTATATTCTTTATATTTTTTGTGTTTATTTGTGTATTTTGTATCGCCATTTACCGGCGACTGACGCTGTTCGAACGGAAAATGTGTACAGCGTCAGTCAACGATATTTCATAGAATGTATATCCAATCTGATTTTTACACGGCCCTTACATTATTTCAAATGAATCGGTATTATATGTGTTTTCAAACAACAGTATTGAAAATAATGGTTCGAAATGAATTACAGTAATTTCTCCCAGAAATGCTCGGAGGTAGGAATTGAAACCGGCAGATTTGAGAATACTAAGTCGCGATTCTTGGTCGACGACCCTTATTAAAACGAACTTATTAGGACCCTTATTCGCGTCGAACACGCGTCTCACGCTCGCTTGTCCATTATTCGAATCCGCGAGTACAGTAATTTCTCCCAGAAATGTTCGGAGATCGGAATTGAAACCGGCAGATCTTAGAATCCTAAGTCGCGATTCTTTGGTCCTCGTGGCTCGTTTTTATAGAAACTCGAGGCAGTCGATAAAAAAAAGGCAGCGGCCAGCATGCCGGTGTACATTAATACTTTAATGGCCGCACGTCTACGCAGTCAAACGTCTCTCGCCAGACAATATTTATGTAAATTCATTAAATAATCCAACACGTGCGATCATACACATAGAATAAAAAACAACAACAATAACATTGCACATTTGATACAACAAATTTAATATTTTTCCTTTGTGTGATAATTGTTAAAGCAATCACCTACATAAATCACCGGCCATTAAAGTGTTAATATGAATACATGGTAGTGCTAGAATAAAAATGGTGACTTCACCTTTTTATTTCAAATTTCTTATACATGAAAATTTTGTTAATACATCGGTCAGATTCTTCCAATTAAAATGAGACCAAACACGACATGCTTTAGACCATATTTATTCATTATAATTGATTTACGAAAAAAGCATTAGAAAAACCGATTCTTAACAACGTATGAAATATCAAAGGCAACGTTAAAGAAGGTATGTACATGTGTCGATCGAAAGAAAATATCAGTGAAGTTATGCTATTCGGGCCTACGTTCGACCGATACTCGTAGGCCAGATGCCTTTATTCGACCGTCACTCGTAGGCTAGACGCCACGATTCGACGGTCACGTACCTAGTACAATAAATCCTCTTCAATCGCCCCTTAACTTGTAAACAAAAAATTAACAACTGGAGAAGTGGGTATACGATTATTCGAGCCTCGCGACTCGTTTTTATAGCTGCCGCTTATCAACTACTGCAAAAACGAGCCGCGAGGCTCGAGTATCCCCTCTTCCCAAGTTGAGGGGCGATTGGGGAGAATTTACTGTACTTATCACGTACCTTCTAGCCGCGCGGTTTTTCTTACCTGACTCACACTCAAACAGCCATTTCGTGGTTCCGAGAATTTGAGTCGCAGGAACCGCGGCGCGTGCCGCATTATACGCTTGACTGACTCCGATGAACCCTCGCATCGACGTAGCAATAAATTACATAGGTATAGGACTAGCATAGGAAAATTCACAGCAACCCGAAATTTCCGGGAGAAATTACTGTATTTGGAATGGTTATTTCTCATTTCCAATTGAAACAAAATTTGCTCGGGTCTGATTAGGCTTACGTGTTCTCCGTTTTGAATTCCGCAGATATTAATTAGATTCGATACGGTCGATGTTCCATTGCAACGAAAAGTTTTATTACGCTTTCGGGACGAATTTAGGGATCGTTATTCAGCGCGTATGAGAAACGGTTCACTGAAGATCGGGTTTCTGGTGGTTTTCAGGGGCGTTTCGGCTCTACGACGTCGACAACGATGGATTCATCACGAGAGCCGAGATGTACAATATCGTTGAAGCGATATACGAGATGGTGGTGAGTACACATTTCTTCTTTGACGCCCGTATCCCCCGATTCTCTCGTTATCGTCGCTCGGCTTTCGCCCGGAACCCCTAGCAGCTCGTTCCAGAGAACTCTCAGCCTCGTTGGATTGGCTGTAAAAACACGTCGACGAGACACGATTAACCTTAAACGGGCACTATCTAACCAGCCACCGTCGACAACGGCTCACCGGATCGCACTCGAAGATTGTCTCGTTAGCGCTGTCGAATCGGCGACCGTAAAAGTGCCACGACACAACGGGGTAATCCACTCGTTGACGCAAAAACCGGAAAGTTGGAATTCGGTTTCTCTTTGTTCTCGTCGACGTACATAGTTAACGTTTAACCCTGAACAAAAAGCAACAGCGAGTCTGCGACGATCCGCTTCCGAAAAAAGCAACGGCGATGATTCGGACCTACTTTTTCGCAACGTGGGAATTATTGCGCTGTTCATCGGGGTGTTTGTTTATCGAAGCGTTGCCGAATCTCCGTTTCAGTAATTTCTTTATATATTCTACGATTTTCAAGCAAATAACGAAACACATGTTAACTTCGTCGCATTGCGTCGTAACGATCACTGCCTCAATTGTTTCCGCCGAGCGACAACTACATTGCGGATTTCTATGGAAAATAAAAATTGTCCGCATTAATTGGAAGAAATAGAAATTACATAGAATTTATTTTTATTTTTCTATTTAAGGATTCCGATGGGTTCAAAATAATACAATACTACGGGCTTCTAAGTATTTGAAATTTCTGCACTGTTTCGTATAAAATTTACTCACTTTTGTCACGAATGCGTAAAATCCGCTGTCTAGTAATAATTTTTCGATTTTCGTCGGGAACAACGGTACCATATTATCCGCACAAATTGTTACCAATAAAAAAAGCTGTGTAGGTAATTTTTACACGATGAAAAGCTTAAGTACAGTATCTAAAGAAAGTACACGAATCGCAATTAAACTTATCGTTACGATTAACCTTTAGCACTCTGTTGGCTCCGCTATGGAGACATCCGTCATTTGTTCCGTAAATCCGAAGACTCTGCTGTGGAGCCCAACGTTTTTAGCATGATTACACCGAAGATGCTACGTTTTTGTCGACGTTGGCAATTGTTATTTGTAGTGAAAACGTGCTTAGCGTGTGTACCATTACGATTAAAACATTTTTTGCCAATTTTTATACTTAGCAGCATAAAATGAATAAAATCAAACGCTTTCACAAGGACGTGTAATCTTTTCGGCTCGAAATAAGACTTCCTTTATCTCAGGCGCTTTGCTCCAAAAATGTGCCGGAGTTGCCGGTAGTGATATTTTTCAGAAAAACGCTGTTCAACTTTATTTTAGAACGTCCGAAGAATATTTACTAATTTTTAATTTAATTTAATTATTAATCGAGCCGATTCCAGCGAAGATTAACAATAAAAAAATTCCGGCAAACTCGCGCAAAAGATATCTTTGGTTCGATAATTCCGTATCCAAACAGAATTCAACGGACGATTCGCAATGCTAATTTTATAATAAATCGCGTCGAAGAACACGAGGGATATATTTATTTAAGAATCGCGAAGAATATCATTAACAGTAAATTTACTCATTTCGATGAGGATGCATTTGCTGCTTGGAAATTTCGGTCGCAATTCACGATGTCGATGCACCGACCTCGCACAATGTTAAGTAGATACCATTACGATTAAAACATTTCTTGTCCATTTTTGTACTTAGCAACGTAAAATGAATAAAACCAAACGCTTTCGGAAGGACGTGTAATCTTTCCCGCTCGAAATAAGACTTCCTTTATCTCAGGCGCTTTGCTCCAAAAATGTGCCGGAGTTGCTGGTAGGTAGTTCTCGAGAAATTCATGGAGCGCTAAGGGTTAAGTACCACTACGCTTATCATAAAAGTGCTGCTTATATATAAAAAGAAATTGTTTCAATGTATGCACCGCGGGACATTAAAATGAGAAATTACGGGCACCTTTTTTACATAACGTAAACACCGTGCGAGTTTCGCGACAGTATTACCAGCCATCAGCTATCGGCTCTTACCACGAAGTCACGCGAGAATAATGATTATTAATGCCGGCGGAGTTTCGGTGGAAGTGTATTCTGCCGCAGACTGTTACGGTCGTTATCGCGGCGCACGCAGCGCCAGGGGTGCTACAAGCCACTCGGAAAATCATGGACGTTTCCCCGTGTCCACTTATTTCGCGGAGACAACGGCACGCTCGCGGTCCATTCATATTCGTTAACGCGCTTGGCCGAACGCCAAGTTGTTTGCGCGGCTCCCCGTCATTTAAAACCTATAAAATATCATATGCGTGGGCGGTGCGCGCGATCCCGTTTGACGGGATCGTTACGGAATTTACGGGCGCGGGGGAGCCTAGTTTTTCTTACCGGGGGATTACGCGGCCCGGTATCACCCTTTGGGCCGGCCAGATAACGCGGCCGACCCCGGCAGTTGCTCTGCCGCTTGTCCCCGATTCGACCCGGACCCGCGAAAAATAGGTCCAGATATGCGCTCGTCCGAGGATGAGTTACTATGCCTTCATTTACCCGCCCCGTGTCACCGAGAAATTGGACCTCGTCGACTTCGGAACAGATGCACCGAATGCAACGATTCTGCCTCCGCGCGACGATATGAACCCTTCGTGCTCGAAGATATTTTACCTTCGGGATCTAGAGATATTTCTTTTGATTCAGAATAGTACACCGTGGCGCATAATTTTAGCATCATTTCAATTTTTCATTGTGTTACGTTTTTGGATAGGAGCAGAGTTGGATATTATAGGAATTGTTTCGAACGAATATGATATCATTATGAAATTAATTTTATTAAAATGAATTTTCTTTTGGTCGAATATTTTATTTAAATATCATATATAAATATTAGATATATTTAAATATTATTCATTGTCATCGTTGACATGGCAGTCGAAGCGTTAATCAAATTAAAGTTGAGAAGATAAGTTGTTTGATATCAATTATCGATATCTCTAGTAAAATCAGAGAGGTGTAATAGATCATCGCAAAAATTCATTTTCAAGGAGCAAATAATTCCGAGATGTGGTTAATCCTAACATATTGTATATATAAATATTAGATATATTTAAATATTATTCATTATTCGTGATAAAATCATTCTGTTTATTTGAATAATATTTAATTCTTTATTGAGATAAATGACTCTAATAATGATTGTAAAATTATTCGATTAATGCGAATAACTATCGACTGTTTTTGGTTTTACGTAATTTCGTAAGAATTCATTGAGAATCAGTTCAATTTCCATTGCTCTGAAGACGATACAAGATAGGTACGTTGACATGTAGATGTGATATTAACCCTTTGTACTCGAGTGGTGACTCTGGGGCACCACTGAAATTTGTTATATCACCTTTTAAGATAATTTTGATATTAACAAAGTATAGATTTAAAAAATTATTAAGAGTGTAACTGTTGTGCCAGTCCCAAGAATCAATTTCATATGCATAAAATGCATTTTGTCATATAAAATAGAAATACTACAAGTGAGAAAAATGATTTTATATTTGCAGTTAAAATAGATGCGAGTGCAAAGGATTATGTCAAGGTCAATTTCAAATGCTTAAAATGCATTTTGTCATATAAAGTAGAAATACCATAAGTTAGAAAAATGACTTTATATTCTCAGTTAAANTTTAACCCTTTGCACTCGAGTGGTGACTCTGAGGCACCACTAAAATTTGTTATATTACCTTTTAAGATAATTTTGGTATTAACAAAGTTTAAATTTAAAAAATTGTTAAGAGTGTAACTGTTGTACGAGCACCAAGAGTCTATTTCAGAAGCATAAAATGCATTTTGTCATATAAAGTAGAAATACCATAAGTTAGAAAAATGACTTTATATTCTCAGTTAAAATAGCCTCGGGTGCAAAGGGTTAGATCTTTTCTCAACTAATTTCTGATACGCAGAAATTTATTGTTAAGAGTGTAACTGTTGTGCAAGTCTCGAGAGTCAATTTCATATGCATAAAATGCATTTTGTCATATAAAATAGAAATACTGTAAAAAATGATTTCATATTTACAGTTAAAATAGCTTCGAGTGCAAAGGGTTAAAATTATGCACTACATCGTGCAATAAGATATACAGACAGCAATAAATGGCAGATTCGTTAAAATTTATTGTTTTTCGTATTGTTTATCCTGAAACGTTTGAAAATTGACATGATCGTGAATGTAACTGCATTTCCATTCTTTTCGATTTTTGTTCTCCTTCCGCGTGTAAAAATTAAGCATTCACGCCTGCCATGCTTGAAACTCTAACAATTCGTTGAAAACCAAACAGATTTAGTAATGTAAGAATTATGTTCGATCGGAGAGTAGATAAATATTCGCGAACGATCGCAGAAAGCGGCGATCCGACGTGACACGTGGCGACGCGTTTGTTGGAGGAAAGAATGGTAACACGCTGGTGCAACGGTTTGAAAGGGCGAGAACAACGAGTGGAAATTGAAGGAAAGCCACCGTGTCGCGTCTATTCTCGGTGGTATTAAATTCGCGAAAGTAGGTCGTGAACTTGGATGCGCGATATTAAATGAAAAACGAAGGGGGGCGGAGTGCGGCGTGCCGGGGTTTTTTGGAAACGGGAAAAATTGGAACGGTCCCCGCGACATTAACCGTTGTGCAAACTCCGCGACTTGGCCGGCCGAAGTTACGATCCCGCGGCGTACTTTATACATGTTTTCGTTTAAAGAGAACGCGTTAATACCTCCGCGTCCCGATACGTTCGCAGCACGCCGCGGCGAGGCGCATCGAAACCGGGACACCGGCCACAAAGGCAGACTTTTATTCAATGATTTCTCGCGGCAAGCGTGCAGCACCGTGGCATAATTTCTGTTTTAAACGAGATAGAACACGGCCGAGGCAGCGGCCCCGTATCAGCGCCGGAGTTTTATCGTTGTACGGCAACGCACGCGGCGCACAACCGCGCGGATTTTTCCTTTTTCGAGCCCGCGAAACGCGAGATCCCAGATACGTTGCCTCGTGGAAACGCGTACACTGTCGCGAGATCGTTTAATATGATCCACGTGGAGGGAAATGGGCTCGCCGCAACGCCCTGCCATTTTTCTTCAACAGCGGCGATGGCCGTACAACGAATTTATGCGCGCCGCGAACGTGCTCTGAAACGGTCGCGAAAAACAAAAACTTCGATCCAGATTTATTTCGCCAGTATACTGTCCGAAATTTCCATACAAAGTCGCCAAATTTTCCTGACGTATTCTTAAATCAACTCGACCGTACCGATGAACAAGTACAGTCAATTCTCCATAATTGACGCTCAGATTGGGCATAAAAATGGATAATTTGGGAAGAGGAGACACGATTACTCGAGCCTTAAGGGATTGAAATTTAATTTGAAAGCTTATGAAAT